CTATTGGACTTGATGGTGACAATTTACATATTGCGTTGCATGGAAAGCAAAATTTCTCTCCTTATTATGTTAATCTTTCTTGCGCATTGCTATTAAGTACTTTTCGTTGCAGCCTTCATTCATTTGGCTTGTCCTCACTTCAGTGCTACCTCTTAGGAGGATTATATGCAACTGTCTGCCATATCGTCTGGTCTGCCGATTCTATCACACTTAAGAAGTGATTCAGTGCAAATTTAAAGCCGCTCTCCTCCAACTGCGATTTTGGCGGTTTACAGACGTAATTATCCAAAGATATTGCATGATGATTGTCTGAATTTAATTGTCATTGTTTAGCTGAAGTCCTCGCATTGTTCGATGTCCAGTGCAAGCAATTTTTAAAAATCAGTATCTTACCTCAGTTTTCTCTTAGTTTTTTCGTGAAGAATGGCAAATGGCTTATTTCAACAATCTTACTACTATTCAGGTGAGCAAATTTTTAATCACTGACAGAGCTGGGCGATTAGAAATTTACAAATTTCAATTTATCCCAAAATACCTGAAAGTAACTCTGAGATCAGAGATGGTAATTCTTCATGGACTACTGAAAATAAATGTTTAACAATTTCTTGCCTGTGGAGTCGTCAAACTTTACACTGGTTAGCGCTATGATACAAAAGCTTATTTCCCAAAGAGCTATGTATTTATGCAGTTTGAGAAATAATACCTATATGGTAGATCGTTAAATGGGACACGAAGCAACGAAAAAGGAACGATCCAAGCTTAAGTTTCACCGTTTTCAGTGAAGCAGTCGACTGCCAATATTTAACATGAAGATGTGACCTTTGCTCAAAATGCTTTGGAGAGTTTATGCAAAATCTGGGCGAACCACATTATGATTCTTTAGATGAAGCGCAGTTGATTGATCCGCTTGAGTCAGATTTAATGCTCTAAGTAACTCTGAGACGGTCATTCTGAATAAATACCAAGAATGATGCTTAGGGCATCATATCAATTAACTGGCTGAACAAGTACAGAATGCCGTTGTTACTGCAGAGGGGGCGAGGGCTAGATATCTCATGAAAGGACTAAGATGAGACAAAACAAATTAACTCTGTTCGACAGATTAGTTCAACTAGACAATTTTCTTTCGTTAGTCAGCTATTTTCATGAAATTAGGACATTTATGATGTCAAAAACAAGCAGAATACAAGACCGCAGATAAAAGCAGATTTTCACCCAATGTAAAACAGTACTTCCAGTAACGTAGCTATTGACATCTTACGCAACAACTTTTCTATTAGTTGAAAATACAAAGGATATCATGAATCTGAATATGGCAGCAACTACAAGCAGCTTAAGGTATGCTAGCAAAAGACAGCCAATCAGTGAACTTAAGCTGGCAGATATTGAGCTCTGATATTTTTTTCCGCTCTGTTCATAGGCTATATATGCTTAGTGTATTAAAATGGTGTGCAAAAATTATTTAGCAAATCAAGTATTTGTCGTGAGGCTGTTTGCTTGGACGATGCCACTAATTTTTCCCATTGAATTCAGTTTTAGATTAATAATAACTACCACCTGATGTTTGCGCTCATTACACACGACATTAACGGAACCGCTGGAAGAACGGAGAACAGAATAAATATTTTTTTACAGCGTTGGCTGTGCTAAATCCGTCTACTCCTGAAAACAGGCATGGCGAATTTGCGCGAAAGAACTAGATTGGGAAGCAGAGAGCAATCAGAACGCGACACTTTTCTTTAATATGCTATGACAGCTTGCATTCACTTAAATGACAGTTTTTTCTAGGCATTTCTTTGATTTCGCAAAATAAGAATTCGGTTTTACGTCATTCACTAGAAGCAACTGCAAACTGACCGTTAATATTTTTAACTCAAACATTTCTTTTAATTTCATTCAGCTGTGATTATTATTAAAATAGAGGTCTTTACTACCCGTAAGAAGGCATAATTGTCCTGTCTTCTTCATTTTTAGCAGCAGCATCATCCTTTTGGCATTATTTCCAGTTGCATGGATTTTGGTTCTTGATCTTCTTCGTCCGTCAATTCTTATCATGATTTGCCATATTCCTCATTTTTATAGCTGCTTCTCGTTTCGACTCAATTTCTTGTAGTATAAGTTTCACTTCCTTCCAGGTAACCTTATGTCCATTATTATCCTTCATAAACAGATTTGCTTTGTTTTAAATGCGTACCTTAGCCTTAACCATCAGCGTTGATTTTTTGATTTTATTCGCTTTGGTCCTTATTTTATCGCTTCACATCCGATCTAGGTTTAAAACTATCTGTGGTCCATCTTGCAATCTATACACCTGTCTATAGTTTTACACTTGCCCAGTTTCAATATCTTAACAACTGAATTTGTCCGTCGTCACTGACCATTCAATAATCTTATACTCGTTGAACTTCAA